TAACTCGCTTAAATCAGTGTAATTAGATGGCTCACAGGTTACAGGAGTAAGGGCTGCAGCTTTTCATTCCGCATGCTGGGCGCTTAAAGCACAGCCTTAACATTAAAAGGACGTGATTAAAAGCAAGTGTCGGGGGCTGAGACCTGGCAAAGGAGCTCAGCAGGCAGGGTTAAGTCCACAGTTTCTTCTGGGGTTGGACATCCCAGGGTCTGGAGATCTCCAAGCACTAGCAGAGACAGATCAGCTTTTAAGTCTGTGATGCCATCTTGTGATAATAGCTGGGAAGTGGAAATTGCAGGGTCCCCTCTGCAGAGTCACATGAAATGCGTGGCTCTTGTTCAGAAGGATAGAAACCTAGAAGCACCGCAGTTTCACAAGTCAGGGGCTAAGAGAAAATCTGTCTCTAACTAGAGAGTGAAAATTATTCATTCAGTTAATATTTCTCCCTCTAGTTCCATTATCTGGCTACAAAGCAATTTCTTTTAGACTGAAGAATCTGACTCTCTCCTTGAGGGCTGAGGGCTAATTTTCCTTCTCAGCATGGTAGGATGGAGTGTCACCTGTGTCACGAGCTACACTGGAAGGAACTCTGGTTCAAAGTGCCACATCCAAGGAGTAAAGGTACTTTTCTTCCCAGACTGAAGCTGGAGAGTTCAGCAAGACCAACTTTGTTGCCAGCATCCACACCAACCTCAACACTGATGTATGTGGAATGGCTGGAAAACAATGGACATATTATGAGCGATCCAGACCGAGTGGCCTCACTGTAACAACAGGCTGTGGCTGTTGTGAAGCACACCTGCAAGGCCAAGGGATTGAGAAACTGTGTGCATAGCAAAAAGATAAGGAAGCTGGACTGCTGAAAAACAAGATGTTTGCCTAGTAGGAGAGCAGCACGTGGAGACTAGAACGGGACCAATCATAGAGGGCAAAAGGGTGCATGGACAAGTAGCTTTAGCCTATTAACAATCAAGTAGTTGCATGTGTACTTTATGGTAATCTATAAATTGCTGGGTATCCTTTAATAAAGTGGCATTAACTTTGATCACACTGGTCGCATAAGTTATGTCCGGGACTTCCGCGTCAGCAGAGATACACACAATAGGGGCATGGAGAACCAGAGCAGGAAACACAGGATCTGTGGAGCTAGAAAAAACAAAACAAAGCACCAGCTAGCGGGAACCAGAGCATGGGTGAGCTGGCTCTCTGCTTGCCCTTGATACTTACTGCACTTCAGACACATGAAGTAGGAAGCATCAGCTCAGAAACAGCTGTGGGCCACCAACAGCAAAAAACTCTGTCCTGAAACAAGCAGAAAAAAAGTTGTAATCCTGGCAAGTCCACTGCTAGGAGAGAGATGCAGCTACACCTTCCCCAGCCTCTGCTGGACAACTTAACGCCAGCTCGGTGGTCTGTGTATACATGGTCAGGCGTGGCAATGTAGCTATAACCTCTCTTACCTGGGATCCATTCAAAGGATGTTTTTCACCAGGGCTTTGTGCTCCAGTGAGACATCTCAAGGCCTTTTGGGAAAGGCTGGGATCCCTCCCCCATGTTCTTCCTGTAGCTTAGGCTCTCAGAGTTTGGGGGTGCCACTGAGCTCAGCTGGAGCTGTCTCTTGCCACAGGCACTCATCCACTCCATCTTTGGGTTTTTTCAACTGCTTCCTGTCTTTTTTGAGCCCGAGGTGGGCAGCCATGCTTTCTGGATGTGGGGATGCTCCCACAGGCCATGACATGTGGGGTGCTCCTCCCTGATACAGTCCCAGGAAGCACTGAGCTTGTTCTGCTCAGGACATCCATGGCTGCGTGCAGGGAGCGAGGCTGGTGCTCAGTGGTGGAAAGGGCTAGGTGCTTTCCCAGCTAGTGACAAACCTAGTGAAGGACATTTTCCTGGCTACGCTCCAGTGCAGAAGATCCAGGGCTGATGAAAAGCTGCCATGCTGGAGGGCAGGTAATAGCAAACACAGAGGGCACTTCATGATTTTGTTATCGGAGGTCTTACTGCCTGTGGCTGAGGGCACGTGCCCACAGACAGGCACGGCTGATGTGCTCTACTGAGACTCAGAGCAGGCTGCCTAAGCGACAGCTCCAGTTTGGAAACTGTGTAACTCATTAGCGCAGTGTAGGGCCCAAATTAATATGCCTTGCCTCCTATAATAAGTTGTTTTCAGCAGGATCAGGGAGATACTTCAAAAGCTTTCTGAATGCCGAATACCAGAACTCAGCAACTCTCAATGCCAGGACCAGCCTCTCACTTCACAATATAGATTTCCCTACGTTCCTGCACAGCTCTCCCCTCCAGTAATTGGATTTAAGCATCGGTTTATCTCAAATAAATGGTTGCATGTTATTTGTGAACTTTGGATAAAAGGTGTCACACTAGGTGAAACACAATGGCTCTGCCACGGGTACCAAGTAAAGCCCTTTTCTGTCACAGCTTCCTGGTGAACGTGCGCTCTACATCGGCTGCGTCTCTCCGAGGGGATGAGAAAAGACTTCTGAAACAGGCTGAGCCCAGCAGTGCCATGCTTGGAGTCTGTACTGCTGCAACCTGGCCAGACACCAGTCTGCCGAGCTGTGCACAATCACACCATGACTGGAAACAGCACCTGCATGGGCAACAGGTCCTCCTGCCCTTCCTCCTGACTGCTTCCAGGCCTGGGGATGGGAGCTACAGGCAGCTGCCTGCAGCAATACCCCAGAAGCGTCCACAGCACTGGTTTGACTGTCCAAGAGCTGGTTTCGTGGCGGTTTTATCTGCCTAGCTGTGTTGCCCTTCTCTCTCTCCCAGGACACAGCTGCTGTCAGCAAACATGATGCTGTTCTTTGATACTGAGATCCCTACTTGGCCTGTTCTTTGTTTTAGCTTGGTGGAAGCTAAATACATCCTCCCGCCCTCCTGCAAGTGCAGTGTTGTGGACTGAAGGGACTGAGACGCTTTGTTTCAAGCCGGATTAGAGATATATATGTTACCATAAAACAAAAGCACAGCCAGCCTTCGGAAGAGCTCCTCTAGTCTAGACAGCCTCCCCTGAGCTCCCTGCATCCCAGCACAGCCCTGCAGTTTGTGTTAAAGCAAGAGGTTCCAGAAGCCTGTTTAACCCCCGTTGAGTAAATGCTCAGCTACAGAACAAAGGAGGGATCGCATCTGAGAGATTTTGCTCCCGTAAATCAGCAGAATGGGTTAAATCAGGACATGAACCACTCTCTGCAGGCACAGCTCGTCTGTTCAAGGGACCTGCAGCAGCAAGGAGCTGTAGTGCTTCAAAAATCTGTGCGCTACAAGCCTAGGATGGGACAGACTGACATCTGGAACTCCTGCAACAGCAAAAGTGATGCTTTACTGTTATTCCTCAGCTCCTAAACCGCCCATGCCCAGGCACTTGCTCCCTGCCCTGTGTCACCTGTTCTTCTCCAGCTCCAGTGCTGCCAGCTGGGGACCATGATTCTGCTGTGCCCATCGGACCACGGCTCAGGAGCATCTGTGCTGCACGGACAGTCCCTGGAGCAAAAGAGCGAGCAATGCTGGGGAGGGGGAAGAAAATTAAGTAAATTGCTGCAGGAAAGTGCCTGTAAACGTGCTGTGTCAGCCAGTCCCGCTTCCCTTGGCCGTTACTGCCACACGTACCATGTACTGCCACATGTAAGTCCAGCCCGACTGCAAAGCAGCTTTGGGGCACTACCTGGGCTCTGATGAAAAGCACTTTTATAACCTTTAACGGTCTGTCACAGCCGGGGGCTGGAGGCAGTAACACACTCTATTTGTGCCGGTGAGATACAAGCTAACACTCCGCACGGGCATTTGCCGCGGTCCCGAACAGAGGCGATGAAGGGAGAGCCACGCCGCCGCCGCTGCTGCTGCCTACAAGGAGCATCACCCTGTGCATGACAAGCGAAGGTTCCCCTCTGCCTGATGGGGGTCTGGTTTAAGCAGGATGCCCTTCCTGGCATTTTTCTTGGCTGGACCATGGCCTGATCCATCTCCTGATCCTTGCCTAATGCTTTTCTCAGGCTTAAGCCATTCTGCTTTAATTCCATGGGCTTTGCTTTATCAGCAACACTAGCTTCATCTCCAAGACATTGCATCCGACCAGTTGAGGTCTCCTTCTTTCCCGTGATGCCTCCACAGACCTCAGACTTTCCTGTCGTCTGGCAGGTGAACATAATATCTACAAACCCAGCTGCCTTCCTGAAACTGTTACTTGCCTTCCTCATGGGAAAAAAATAGGAAAAATTAGTATGCGGCTTCTTCCTCAAGAAATCAATGTGATCTCAACTCACTCTGAAGTTCCCTGACTGTTAGAGATGCTGCACTGGTAAAAACTGATCCTCAGAGGACAAAGAGTGGGGAAAAAAAGAAAGAAATAAATTCCAGTGACTAGACAAGGCTAAAATGTTGCAGAGGGCTAAACTCCTGCTAGTGCTAGAGGTTGTTTTAAAAGTCCCAGAGCAGGGAGGGCAGAAGAATGGATTCAGTCCAGCTGTTTATCACCCAGCTAGGAATCAGCTGTAATTGTTAATTCTAATTAAAGCTGTTAGAGAAAAAAATGTAATCAAGAGTTTCCTTTAAAAAAAAATAAAAAGACATTTCAGCTAAATTTAAAATTTGTTTTTTAAAAAAGGGGGTAAATGCTAGAAAATTTTGAAACGACCCATTTCAGCATTTTCAAGATGAAAAGGGATATATTTTTGTTGTGAAATGCATCATCAATTCGAATGTGTTTTATCTTACAGTCTGAAGAGCAAAAATAGTTTTCAAATCAAAAGCAAAAATGATATTTTTAGGCTTTTTCTTTAAAAAAGCCTATCTGGGGGTTTCTGTCCTAATTAAGAATGATTTTTTTTTTTTCCTTTTATTTTTTTTTAAATGGAGTAAGCTGTTTCTAGTTATCTCTACTCTAAAATGCTGGGCTGGTGCTTTTCTTGGTGTGTACACACCACCCAACCC